CTTACAGAACCAAGGGAATGAGTAGCTACCGTGGTCATCAAAATCGCCATATTTGAACCACATAGACAATATGTGGGTTGGTCATTACTCGCCGAATCAACGGCCTGCATGTCCTACATCAAAACTGAACCAAATTGGACAAGTTTTAACCGTATTCTGGAATTTTATTCCTGATTAAACTCTAAAAAGCCTATCATAAGAAATGCCTTGCGGCTTGAAAGCTCCGGTAGCAGCAAGATGAGGTCAAGCGTAACGGCGACTGTTGCTGTGACTAGACACTGACATGGGGGGCCTTTGTGGGGCGTGTAACTCTTTTAAATACAATAATTATGAAAATATGGAGATCCAAATAATCGCTTTCGATGGTTGTCGTATGACTTAAAATAGGCAATGTATTTTTGTTTGCTTCACTGACGAATTCAATTAATGAACTGATGTCACAATGACATCGAAGAGATTATCAAAAGTTATTAAAACACGATTTTAATCCTTATTTTCATTTATCAGTCAGCAAAATAAGAAAAAAACTGATGAATTATGTTTTGGAAAAAATATTCCATATTAAATGTCAAGTCTGTATATATACCAGGGTAGATTTCCATATCGAGAAGACATGCTCCACTCTTCTCCCCCTCTCCTGATTCCCTGGCCCGAGGAGCTACATGTTTGTCCTAAGCACTTGAACGAGCTTGTTAGAAACCAGATGTGGAGATAGTGAGATTTAATTGCACGAGCCAGACTACCGACTTACCAATCTTACAGGTTGAAATAAGTGTGGGCAGGGGGGGGGGTATATATCTTTTTAATCGACCAAGCTAGATAAAGTATATCAAAAGAAAGGCTCAACTTGGAATCTTTTTTTATTTCAGATCGTTATTTCATAACATAATAGTTGCATAAGAGATAAAAGGCGCAAAATAGAATATACGGTTTGGTAAAAGCCTTCGAACAATAGGGTTGCGCGACAAGGTTATTTTCAGTTGCACCCCGGATTACGCGCTTGCTCCGCAGGGTGTCGCCTGTGGTGGTGGTGGGGGTGGGGGGTGGGGGTGGGGGGGCGGCACAGCCCACATGGTTACTGTGGCGAAGGTGACAGATACTTCCAAACATTTTATCATTACTGTCATTATTCCTCTTTCCAATTCACAAATTTGATATTTTCGGCATGGAAAATGTGGCACTGGCAAAAGTGGGTCTAGGTGCATCGACAGGCCGCACAGGTGTCCCAATTAACCGCTGCCAGAGAAGAGATCCCAAGTATTAAACAACACAACCTATAGATATTGGAAAATTGGCAAAAGTTAACTGAGGCTTTATTAGATTTGGGGAGAAATCGAGAGTAATGTCCTGTGACATGCCAAACCCCTAAGTTCAAGTCTTGGCCCTTGACACCAGTAACGCACCCCTTAGTCAAGAATCTGAACAAATCAATGTTGGGCAGGTATGCTCTATTTTCTACAGGCGTTTTGTGATTTTATCAACTTAATTGTCAAGTGCCAGACCTTTTGTTCCCAGGTCCTAGTAGCAAACTTTATCAGATAACAATCTGACACTAACCTTGCTGCACTAACAGCGCTGTAAACCCAGTTATCAATGCTGTCATCTTTACCTGTATCTCTACCGGTATTATACCAGTGGTGTGTTTGATATATTTCAGTAAGGAAATATGCTGTGATGCTTATATTTATTTGTAATACGTTAGCATCAACCTGTTAATAAAAACTTGGAACCTTTCAATATTATTACAAAATAACAGCATAATGATGGGAGCAGTTATGATTAAATGCTTAGTAAGAAGAAATAATAAAAACAGACTATATGAAATATAAAATGAATTGATTTTATTTGGATTATTTACTTATTTATTTTTCAAACCAATTAATTATCAAACATGAAGCTTATTTTTAGAAACATCAACAGATATTACTGCAATTTAACCCTACTGGTACACAGATCTACAGTTCTAAAATGCAAATACCAAGTACCTTTCACACACCACTGCTGACATGTGAAAAATCATATATATAAAATAGTAAAAATATCACAAAATGTGTGTAAGAAAGATATTTCTACAAGTTAGCTCATTGATCAGTCAGGAAACTTCATAATGCTCTAAATAAATACAGAAATTTGAGCAAGAGAAATTCTACATACAGACATGACAGATTTACCATATATTGCCACCAACCCTAAACTGAATGGGCATAGAAAGAACAATGTGAATCTCCCTCCCATTAAAAATGAATAAAAAATTAAAAAAAAAATAAAATAAATAAAGAAAAACATTGAAAAACAATGGCACCTTGCAGCCTTCACTGCCTCACTATTTGCAGACAATGTTCTTGTCACTGTAACTGTGTACTTTTGAGGAGGAATAGACGCAAGGATAACTCCTTTTAAGTATATCGTGAAGGTTTCTTTTGTCATAAATCTGCCACATATAACCTGAATGTACATATTGCGATTCACACCGCAGCAGCTTGTCTTAGTAAGGACTCAACCAGTTGAAAACTTGTGGCACAGCTTCAGGGACTAGATCACACCAACTACCCTTGCTGTGATAATGGATCTACATTATCTTGTCCTCCTAGTTTCTCTAATACCATTTCCCCTTGTTTTTTCTTACATCTATCTCTACAGCTTTACCAACTGCTACACAGTTTTTGCATCTGAAAATATACAGCAAAAATTGTAATAAAACACTATCAATTTACTTGTTATATATTGATTTTAGGGCGAGAAAAAAAGGCAGAAACCTTATACCATAATCAAGATAATTGAAAATCAAATATGC